TGTCTAGTCTGAATCTACTCTCAGTCGCATAGCCATTATTCCTTGTTACTTCCGGTAGTGCTCAGGGCAACAGGGACTCTCCCATTGTCTGCTGGTCCCCCCTTGGCCATTCTGTAGATGGCCACCAGATCCCCTCTCAGCCTTCTCTTGTGAAGGCTGAACAGGTTCAGGTCCTATAGCCTCTGCTCATAGGGCCTGCCCTGCTGCCCCCTGATCATGCGAGTGGCCCTCCTTTGGACCGTCTCCACATTGTCCACATCCCTCTTGAAGTGCGGCGCCCAGAACTGGACGCAGTACTCCAGCTGCGGCTTGACCAGTGCTGCATAGAGGGGGAGGATCACCTCCTTGGACCTGCTCGAGATGCATCTGTGAATGCATGACAAGGTGCAGTTGGCCTTCCTGACTGCATCCCCACACTGCCGGCCCATGTTCATCTTGGAGTCAATGATGACTCCAAGATCCTTTTCCGCCTCTGTACTGAACCCATTGTAACCCACTGTAATGTAAAGAAACCCATTGCCCCTCTTGTATCTTTTTTGAACACCAGGCATTGATCTAGGTTGTGGTGGTTGCCAGTGTGTGTACAGCTCCACATGCTATTTTTGTGGAGCTCTGTTTATCTTTATGCCTCCAGTCTCTGTTCTTTGTACACTCTGGGGAACTATGCAATTGTGCACCCACCCAATTTTGCGCATAAAATGTTTGACCATGCATAATTGCATAATTTTGCATAATTTAACCCAGGCAGGCTCTGTGCCTCCACCTCCACGGGGCTCTTGGCACTCCAGCTGGGAGCCAAATGTAGAAGCATACTGAGCTCAGTGGCACACAACTGCACAACTGGTGAGTGTGGAGGGGAGCTACCGGCAGGAGAGGGGGTGGGTGTGGGATTTGTGGGTGTGGGTGGGCATTGGGTGTGTGGCTAGGTATGGGCCCCCCAAGGTGCAAAGCCCCTGTTGCCGGTGGTGGCGGCAGCAGCAGTAGGTGGCGGGCTCTTGGGGTGCTTATGGCTGCAGCAGGCAGAACCCCCTGGTGGCATGTGGCTCCAACTGAGTCCCAGGGACTGCACATGGTGGCATGGAGCCACCCTGGAAGGCCTGCTGGCACAAGTGTTCAACCCAAACTGGGTTGACTCCATGACAGCACATGGGGCTTCCAGCACTGCAGGTGGGAACTGTGTGCCATCAGGCCTGGCCATCTATCTCTGTGCCTCCACATACGGTTTCCAGCCACTCCAGCGGGAAGCCGCACATGGAGGCACGGAGCCAGCCCGGCCTGATGGTGCATGACTCTGTGCCTCCACGTGCAGCTTCCCGCTGGAGTGCTGAAAGCCCCACGTGGAGGCATGGAGCCTGCCTGGCCTGATGGCACATGGCTCCCATCTGCAATGCTGCAAGCCCCATGTGCTGGCATAGAGCTAGTTTAGTGAAGTTCAAAGGCACATGCCAGTGGGCCAGGGCAGGCCAGTTCTGTGCCACCATGTGCAGCTCCTGGGACCAGCACATAATTTTGAATTTTTCTGCACATAATTCCCTGGGGTATATCTTTGGTTTCTTTGTAAGGTCTTTGTTAGAGCCTTGTCCACTTTCCACTAGCTTCAGTTTCAAAGATGAAGGGGGGGGTGTTAAAGAAACGTATTTTGTTTTATTTTTATCATGTACTTAAATAAGAGTAGAAGATATTTAAAAACAGGTTAGTAGGAGCACTCTACCTCTACTCCATTGTCACACTCCTTAGATGGATGAAGAGAACTTATAGTGGATTGTTCTGCAGGAACCCTGTGCATTGGATATAAGGTGCTGGAAAAAGCCATTCAGCCTAAGATGCCTGATTTTGATCCTGTATTTTTGCATCTTTACAACCCAATCTCTTTCTTAGTATCTTTGTTATCAGCATCTTATTCTATATACTATTATCCTTCTGCCCAAGCTCTATATTTCTTTTCTGGCTCTTTTGTGTTAGATAATGTCTCTTAGTTTTTAATTACTCTGCATGTGATTTATCAGAAAATTTTATTACCATAGAATTATAAATAAATCCAGTTAAATTAAAGAGCCCCTGGACATTATAATGAACCAATGGTTAGCTGTATTCAGGTACCATCATTGCTGACTAATCCACATCTATTTAATGTCAGGAAGAAAATGTTAGACAGTGGGTGTGTCTATATGTTCATTCATGTGCCAGTTACTGCACATTAAGTTTAGTACTTGTATAATCAAGTACTAAATTAATGTGCAGTAACCGGCATTACTGTGTAGTAGTGCTGGCACATGCCTTTTAAGTGACACTATTGCACAGTAGCTTAATAATACTGCGCAGTACCTTATTAGCATTGTTTGTGCATGACATGCTACGGTGCAGTATTGTTAGGCTACTGTGCAGTTAGCATCTCGTGTAGATGCGCCCAATGTATTTCGGAAAAACAGGCCACTCTGACTTGACCAGAAAGTGAACTACTTTTTCATTATCACTTAAGCTAGGTACAGACAGTCAAAAAGCCCAAGGCTGAACTGATTCAGTCTTTGAAGGTTAGTCTAAGCTGTATAGATTAAATTGAAACAGATGTGAACAGACATTTATCTTTGATTCAGGAAATGCAGCTACATGCCTGAAGTGGCTCAGGCCAGAAGCAAGGGGGTGCTAGAGCATAGTTCTTTGGCTGTGTGTTCAGTTGCTCTTCCTGCTGCCCCTGAGGTCTCTGGGATTTGCAGTCCAGAATTACAACAGCAGCACTCTGAAGGGATGATCATCACTTCCTCTTCCTGCTTCCAGGTATTTGGAAGTCCACAGTTTTTACTCTGGTATTTGTAGTCCATTGCAGCCAGCACTAAGTTTGAGCAGGGGAAGGGATATTTAATTCCCCTCCCTGCCCCCAGACCCCAGCCAGGGTTTGCCTGAGGGGGAGGCATCCCCCCTCCCTCCCCCCAGCTTAGACTGGGTTGTATCCCCAGCCAGGCTCCCCCCCACCCTTGTCAACCAGCCCTCACTACTCCAGCTAGGGAGCAGAGGGGCAGAGCCAACCCTGCTCTCTGAAGCAGATAGCCCAGCCCAACCCAGTGCTGGAAAGCATGCTGGGATGCTGTAGCACTATGATTTAACTTGAACCAGGAAGGGGTCTGGGACAGAAGTTGCATAAACTGGTTTGACCCAAATCAGTTAAGTCTGATACTACATTCAACCAGGTTTATCTCAGACCAGTTTCAGCCATTTTGAAACTGGTTTATGTGCACTGAGCTTCTGTTCTGTTACAAATTTAAACCAGCTTCTGATTACTTTAACCGGTTTATGTGTAACGTCTGTCCCTAGCCTTAGTATTATATACCCTTTGTGCCTAGCCACGGGTATACTTTCATCAGAGCACAACACAGAAACAATAGCCCTGCCTTTAGAGCTGTATCCACCAAAGGACTTCATTGCAAGTTTAATTTTAGTCATGTGAATAATCCCATGAATGGACGACGAGGGAGAGATTTTGAGAGAAATAATCTGATGTTCTCCTTGAAAACTAGGATATTAATGAATATACAAATATCAGACATTTTCAAACAGGACCACAGGTAGTAATATTCTCTCCATCACAAATATTCCCATTGCTGAATGTAACCTTATTCAGCAAACTGGAGAGTTGTTTAAGAAAAGGATAAAAATAAGAGCTAGTTGACTTTGGAAGGATTATATTGCTGTATCTTTAAAATGGTATTTTAAAGTGACTATAGGTTTTCTGTATTCTTTGCACAATGGTTATAGTGCTTTTTGCTGTGGTTTATCAGAGTACATGAAAAAGTCAGTGATAACTCAAATGGTTAGAAGTATAGAATTACCCCTTCAATACCTTGATTTGCTTTAATTAGGCAATGGAATTTTAGCCTACTGATTAGTAGTATCATTTGCTATAGGGTCCGTGAATCTGAATCCTACACCATCAGCCGTCTTTGTGGGGGAGGGTAGGAGAAATAAAGGCTCTACTCCCCCTAGCTAGCTTGGGCTGATCTTTGCATGTTTTCTCAGCTACTGATCTCATAATTTTTTCTTCTCTGAATAGTGTTCGGTAGAGGGATTCTTTCAGCTGGTCCCTTTTATTTGTTCCTCCAGCTGCCCAACTGCACATCTCCTAGGACAACTGTTTTGGCTTCATTCTTAACACATCCTTTTTCCATTTTTTCTCCATCCTTTTTGGGTAACTCCCCTCTTCTCTTTAATTTCATCTTCTTTGTAGGATAAATTACAAGATAGTCTCTGACAAACTTGGGCTGAGTCATACATTCATCCCATTTAATGCATACTATTTATGTAAGGCAGAGGTTCCCAAACTTTTTCTTATTGTGTATTCCCTTCCATATTTACCAGCTGCGTACATACCCCTACCAGCATACATTTTATATTTAACCCCTTAAATGCTGATTATTATAATAATGAAAATTAAATCTGCCATTACACAATTTCTCCTGTGTACCCACCAGAGATATCTTGTGTACCCCCAGGGGTATGTGTACCACAATTTGGGAACCCTTGATTTAAGGCATTTGCTTTTGAAGGCAATGTTTGTCTGTATGGGGGTTCATTTCCAGCTTTCACGGCCACATATTAAGATGGAGACAACATTGGCATTGCTTTCACTGAGCAAATCTTATGAGCTGGTAAATGTGGGTGCTTTGCCAATTTGTGACATTATTTCTTTCTGGGCATCTTCATTAGCTTGCACATTACTGCCAAATTCTGTAATTTGAATAATATCTTTTGTCTTATTTATTTGGAGTTCTCATTAGATTGAATTACTAGATTCTTTAAAATGGGATTCATGAAGTGGGCTGGTTTTAAAGAAATATGACAGGGCACATAAGAGAAATTCAGTACTCTACATTCTGCATTACATGTTTGACCAATCTAATGAGAAACTCAAAGGAAGGGAACCAGATTGCAAAGCCTCTCAGCTTTTAAAAAATGCAGCCAAACCACAACTTCCTGCAAGAAAAATATAAATATCAAAGTCTGTATCATTGAAAATAATGACAGTCATGATGGGTCGGCTGTTGCTTTTGCTGTTTTCTGTAATAGCTGTTCACCTTCCCCTGAGGTGTAAGCAAGTCTCTCAGAATATATGAACACATGTACCTTCTTAGCTTGGTTTATGCATATGTGACATATCTAAGCTTTTTCAGTTCTTCTTTTTCAGATGGCTGCATTAAGATTATTGGAGGACACACAGTAGCTCCTCATTCCAGGCCTTTCATGGCTGCGATACAGAAAGGCAGATCAACTGTGTATGGGGGAGCTCTTATTGAAAAAAACTTGATTTTGACAGCAGCACATTGTAAACTGTATTTCTAGAGAAGTCTTTTATATTCTGATAACTGAAAATGAATAAGTGAGTTATGATATCCAAATAGGCAAATAAAGAAGACTTGAGTACTGCATTTTTGCAGTGATTTAAAAACAGCAATTCTGTCAGCAAGCAGGTGATCTAGGACCCTTAAAACCTGCCTTAAGATTTTTTTTTAAGTCCAAGATTGCACCGTATACAGTCATTACCATGGCCCTGATTTTTACCACCCTTTCACCCTGTAAGAAACTCATCCACCAGCAGTTTTTCTGAAATCAATGTTCTCCAAGAAGCAAAGTATTCTTCAGCACAGGTTTGAATGGCAGAATCTACCCCAGTGTTTGCAAAATTCAGTTCACTTGGTAGTGCCCCAGGAAGGTTGGTAGCTGACATACAAACTGTTCTTCTCTGGGACCAGACAGAGGTCCAAAGGCAGAATATTTCATGTTACAGCCTAGCTTCCAGTCTGGTTTGTCTGCATTGCAGAAGAAGAATGGGCCTAGTCCTTACCTCCTTGCACATTTAATGTTCCTAGTAGGGAAGTAGGAATTGTGATTAATAAGGTGTGTGGACACCACCATGTGGATTACTGACAATGCATTTTGCCTACTTCATCTTCCATGTGAAAGTCTCTCAGTGCTTTGTAAACTTTAATAAACTGAGACTGAAAATACCCCCTACATATAAGGAAATGTTACTATCCCTATCGTAGCAATAGGAAAACTGAAGGGAAAAGACAAATGACTGACTTGTCTGTGTCACAAAAAAGAATGGTAGAGTTGGAACTGGAATTCAGTTTTCTTGATTTTCCTGATGATGTTTCACATATTTTTGGGTAGAATACGTGCCTGTATAGAATTAGAACTGGCTCAGGATAAGGGAGACCTCTACAGTCTGCATCAGGGATTAATTTTCACCTTTTACTCTTAGGTCAGATACTTACCCATTGTTATTTATCACTCCTCTAATTATTTTGCCTTAATAATTATCATGATGATGATTGAGTAATCTTTGTGCTAATTCTGACTACCTGTAAACTTGAAGTCTCCTTTAACATAGGATCATAGATAGGAAACTAGGGTTGGAAGAGACTTCACAAAGGCATCAAGCCTAGCTCCCTGCTCAAGGCAGGATGATCCCTGACTAAAGTATACAACAAAGTGTCTATCCAACCTGCTCTTGAAAATTTCCAGGGATGGAGGTTCTACAATTTCTTTAGGTAACCTGTTTCAAGACTTGACCACCCTCATGGTCAGAAAGTTCCTCTTAACCTCCAGACTAAATTTCCTCTGCTTCAGTTTGAGTCCATTGTTCCTAGTCCTGTCCCTTACAATTGACTCACAGTGTGCCTCTTCTGTTAACCTGGATGGGATGGGCTCCACCTTTCCCCTAAAGGTAAGCGC